TTATTGTTAATTGTTTTACTAAATCTAAACTTCTTTTGACTATTGGTACGAATTATTTGAAATACAACCTAAGAATTTTCAACCAACTAATTTTAAATGTTAAAACGGACTAATTTGAAATCTAAAACGAAGTTTCCACGAAAGATTATTAACTACTTTATGGGACATCATTCCATTTTTAATCTTAGTTTTTCTTAAACTATTCCACGATGCGGACTTGATAAAACATTTCGAACGAGTTCCTTCTCACGAGTTAAATTTAAACAATTCCATCACATCGACAAGAGAGTCCTTGAAAACTATTCCATTCTCTTCAGATTTTAAAGTTTATTTTTATATTATTAAAAAAACTTAGAGCACACTTTACGAATATGAATTTCTTTTAATTATAAAGTGATAAAATTCGACTTTAGTAAAATATATTTATACAGCTTTCTAAGAACATCTCTTCTGGAAATTCTTAAAACTTAGTAATCAACAATGAGATTGAAACTAAATTAAAACTATTTCACTATTTCTAAAATTCTTTTGATTCTTGCTACGAAGTCTTTAAAATATATCATCGGAATTTTCTACCAACTAATTTAAATTGTAAAACGGATAGCTGAAACGAAGTTTCTGAGACAAAAGAATATATTAACTACTTCTACGACATCATTTCATTTTTTTTATCTTGGTTTTTCCTAAACTATTTCCACGATGCGGACTCGATAAAACATTTCGAACGAGTTCTTTCTCACAAGTTAAATTGAAACAATTCCTTCACATAGACGATAGAGTCCTTAAAAACTACTCCATTCTCTTCATTTCCTTTAGAAAAAGAAAAGGATAAGATTTCCTATTATCTTTCGACACTTTCAGTACTTTTTTTTCTCTTCTTGCAGCTACACAATTTATTTTCTGAAAATGCGGTTGAAGAACATGAAAGATAGAATAAAATATAATGGGTATAAGACAGGACATAATTTCAAGCATGGCGCCTTACTATCTCATGTTTTGGTAAAATTCCAACTCAGATCTTAGAGATTTATTTCTATCTATTGTAAGGCTTGTTTCAACTTGCCACAATTTTTCAGATACAGAAAGGTATTGATTATGGTGTGACAATTTTGGCGACGAAAAACTTTTTGAACTAGTTTTGTGTTTTAGATTCTAAGACAAACAGACTTGCTTGGTATGCTTCAAATATCAACCATGAAGTACCATTAATTTAAAATAATATATCGTTCCTAAAAGAAAGAATTATAGCTTTCTTTTATAAGAAACTTGTATGTAATATATATTCTTGAACTAGTTTGTTCAAAGAGTTCTAAAAATAAGTTTTAGATAAGTTTCGCTGCAGACAAGTTTTTGAGTTTTAGAATTTTGTAAGTTAGAAGCACACTAACTATCATTATAAGTTTCTTCTAGTCTAGTTATTTCCAGTTGAAAGAAAGCATTTATGTTTTTTTAGAATTTCAGTTTTCATCCTGTATACACTAATTAAGAATTCATTATTGGTAGATAATTTATTTATAACACATATTTAAATCTTTTGATGGTTGAATATAATTTATAATAATGTCTCATAATTCGACACAGCACGTCACATTGGGATAACGTTACATAGGAGCCTTACGTTACATAAGTTAGCTATAAAATCGTTTAAAAAGTCTCTGAAATCTTTATATTTTGTCTTTGAAGCATAAGAATGTTTAATTTTCCGCATTCAATGCATTATTATTTCCCAAATGCTTCTTATAGGTTTGTTAATTATTTCAAAATATATCAGAATTTTAATGATAATGTCTCAAATAATTTATTAAAAATAAAATTAAAGAAAACTATTTCTGAAATAAAAATTCTAGAAATATGCGTAAAATAACATTCCAGAAATATTTCTATAACATTTATGAAATATTTCTAAAACATTTCTGAAATATTTCTGAAATAACATCCCAGAAATACTTCTAAAATTATCATCCGGTAGATATTTCTGAAATAGCATCGCAGAAAATTTGCTATAAAATAAACATCCAAGAAATATTTCATTGTCAACCAAAATCACGCGATTACTTAACTCATTTATAACATATTTGAGACGTTTTCTTCGGTGTGCAGTATTGTGAAGATTTTGAAGGTATCAAGTTACATTATCTTATATATCATTCTGTTACAGAGTGTCATATTCAAAACCGTTTGCACTCTATCCCAAAAGCAAATATAAGCGAACATAGCCTCCTTTTTTTACGCTAATTTTGATTTTTTAAACCCTAGATAGGAGGGACATATTCCGTAGCTTAAAATATTTTCTACAATAATTAATTAACAGATTTTTAGTGGATTCTTTAGACCTAAGAGATTGAATCTAAACACGTAAAAATTCGAGTGTTTATTTAAAACTTATCAGTTGTTTAAAAAAAGTTGGCTTTAATTGTTTGTTCGAAGTATAATTGTTTTTTGTTCCTCACAAAAATATTTTTAACAGTGTAGAAATTCATTTTAAAAGTTTTTCCCGAAATTTATTTAACTGGACAGTTTTTATTTATTTATTTATTTTGGTAATCGTTTGGTTGTTAGTTGCGAAAACAATGCTTGGTGTTACTAATTGAAAGATTCTGGTATTATTATTGTTTAGTAAGAGAGACTACAATTTATATTTCTAATTAAATCTTTAGTATTCTATCGAATTAATTACAATAGTAATTTTTGAAATTTTTGAAACCACAAAAGTTAATCTATGTGGTTTCACTTGCAGGAATAAAAAATTTATTCAACTCGTAATATGTTCGAATTATTAAAGCGCTCGCCTTCCAAACAGATGATACAGGCTCGAATCCCTGCGATAACTGGCAGGCTCGAATACTGCTCCAGACTGACGTAAAATATATCCAGTGGTAAAAATGTCATAGGTATCATGTTATCGTGTTTACCATGAAATGTTTTCCTCTCTATATAAGCCGAATGCGGGTTAGTTTCCGAAAAGCTATTTTTCCCCAATAGTCGATCTCGGAATTATTTCGTCCTAAAATTTGAGTTCAAAGCTACAAGGCTACAGAGCTGTACAGTGGATAAAAAATAAAATAAAAACAGAACATCCTGAATCGAATTCGATCAAGTGATAAATCTCTACAGCCGCAATCTGGGAAGTGTGGTCAGGAGATTGGTCCAAACGGACACCTTTTATGGACCCTTATATCGTTACAATTTAACTTTTTGCGTATTTTGCTATATCTCGAGAAATTTTTGATCGAATCGAAAAATTTCAGCATACAATTACAAATTCGTTTATCCAAAACTAATTTGTTACAAAAAATAAATATTTAATGTGCATTTATTATTTTTTATTACATTATTTAATAACAGTCGAAAATGTTCTGAATTGCATAATCTCTGGTACCAATTGAGTCGATCTCTTGAGTTCTGGCTTGTGATCATTAGACAAAAAGTTTATTAAGGTACTCCTTTACTTTATTTTGCGCACTGTTTTGCATAT